CAAAGTGGTGGTGGGTTGGTTGAAAAATCCTGAAGAGGCTATGTGGCGTTACAAGAATGAAATGAAGAAATTTAGTTGGTTGACAAGGAATATGTTGGTCACTGTAGAGTGGGTGGGGAGATCAGCAAATACTTTGTCAGATGTGTTAGCCAAGCAAGGGGTAAATAGGGAAGAATTGTTTTGGGCTTAGTTGTGATTCTTGCTTTTCTTTCCTAGTTTACTTGTAAGATTCAAGGAGGAGCTGCATCTTGCGCCTCTCCCTGGGATGTTGTATGAACTCACTCTAAATCTTCTTTTGAATTAATAAATTTATTATCATTCATCAAAAAATACCCCCACTTCTGAATTTGGTCCCTCTTAGACTACAAGGGCAAAAAACACAATTTGAACCACTACTTTTCATTTCATTCAATTCCCTCTCATTAAGTCCTATATTTAAGGTGTTATCTCCCATTCTCTCTCATTAAATCTCATATTTGAGGTATTTTTGTTTCTCACCAATAAATTCTACCAATTAAATCTATATCCAATAATTTTAACAATATAAAACCTATGTGTTTAAAACTGACTTGAATACGAAATTGTTCTTTGATAAGGTAAGTAATTCAATCATTTGGGTCAAATGGGTCAATCCATGATGTCATAATTAAGTAAAAATTTAAAAGTAAATAATAATATAAAATTGCAAGAATACTCATTAAATCCTATATTTGTGGTATTTTTATTTCTCACCACTTTACCGGTAAATTCTACTAATTAAATCTAAATCCAATAATTTAACAATACAAAACTTATGTGTTTAAAACTAGCTTGAAAATGAAATTATTGTTTTGCCTAGGTGGCAGGTAAGTAATTCAAGAATCATCTTGGGTTAAATGGGTCAAACCATGATGTCATACTTAAGTAGTAAAAAATTAAAAATAAATAAAAATACAAAAATATAAAAATTTTGGGCACGCCTTTAATATTATATATCCATCATACTAAACAAACAATAATTATAATAAATAAGAAGTATGAAATACAAAATTAAAAATCAGCTTAGAAAGAAAATTGATTTCTTATTCAAGTAGTCGGTCAATATTCAACCTTTTAGGTCAAATGGGTTAACTTCTGATGTCATAATTAAATAACAAAATGTTAAAAAAGATATAAACACACAAAATTATTAAAAAATATAGAAATTTTGTAGAAAACATTTGGATACATCTCTAATATTATATATTCATTATATTAAACCAAAATAAATGTGATAAACGCGAATTATTTTTATTAATAATGGAAATATAATAAAAATTAAAACTAACTCGAACAAAAAACTGTTTTTTCCATTTAAGTGGTGTGTTAGCGGTCCAACCATTTGCACAAAACTGGTCAACCAATGATGTCATAATTTTTTTTTCAGAAAAGTAAAGTATAAATTGTATTAACTGAAGAAATATACAAGTATGGTCCTCTGTACAAGAGTATTTTGTACAAGAAAAACCTTTAAGGGCCCCTGTTAGTGTAGGGGTATTTCTGTCTTTATACTTATGTTGAGGTTGTTGATCTGTAATATTATATTAGAATTAGTGTCCCTCACTTAAATAAGGGCACATGTGTCTTTTCCATTATATTAATAATATAAAAACATGTCTGGCCAAATGGGAGAGGAACTTTTTCCCTAATTCGAACCAGACTTTTCTTCTCTCCTTTTCTCCTCCTTTCTCTCTCTCTTTCTTCCTTCTTTCTTCCTCTTTCTTCTTAGCTGTTATCAGACTAACAGAACTCAAAGGCAGGCCGAATTATAACGTGGTATCAGAGTACAACTAAGCAACTCGGATCTGCCCAGATTTTTGTTCTCTGCGCACTCAATCTAGGGTTTTCCCTTGACTTCCCTGCCATCCATTGGAGATAAGGGAAAGGGATGAAAAGGAGTGATCGCCCTCTTTCCTTGGAGGTTTCTATGCCTCCAGTTGTGTCTTGTGTGGTCGGTTGCTATGGTTTCTAAGAAGCCCTCCCCTAATCGATGAAGAGAAGAGGGCTGATTCGTGTGGTGCAGTGGGTGTCTTGTGTGGACTGATTTTCTTCTTGTGTGGTTTGTCTTTCA